CATAAGTAGGCTTAAGAAGGTCCCCTCTGAGGGGTCTCCCTAATAGTACTACCTATGCTAGCACCACAGGAGAGGACCATGCTCACCTTGCGGAATTTGGTCATAGGTGAGCTCCCAGGAGTTCTTGCTGAGGTTTCCGGGGACAGGATTCTGACTGCCACGCAATTTTAACCCTAAACCCTAAGCTCAAAACCGAAATCCTGAACCTTTTTTTATCTCCAAGCCCAAAACTTGAAATGCTTGCTGTCCGTCTGATCGTGACCTGTGCGGCGTCCCTTAGACTTGGACATAGCCTTGGTAGCGACCTAAACCCTGGGCCCTTGCACACCTCGGTGGTTCAGATGACTCCTCAACTGGCTCCAGCGTGGGTCCAAGGGTCTGAGAGGATTCAAAAGGCAACTGCGCCAAGCTTGCGTCGAGCCGTTACAGTAAGCCCTCTTTGCTTACATGCTCATCTTAGATGCGTACTCCAACAAGGTTGAGGAGACAACGGATTACCTTCGCCTTGTGCCCCGCGACTTCAAGCAGATCATGATGTTGGCCGCAGCGACACACCCACCGTGGAAATGGGTGCCGTGCCTCTCATAAACCAATGTGCCGTCAAGAATGGGAACATCCTCANNAACCCTAAACCCTAAACCCTCACGATGCGCATCTATGGCGAAGGCGATCCTGAGTTCATCATCTTCTCCCAGAAAGATATGGCCTCGGATGGGCTATGCCTTTAGATTTAACTCTTTTGAGCAACAGAACCCTAAATCCACATTTCAGCCCTAACCCCTCTATATAAACTTGAATTCAACTCCTCTGTACTCTTCTGAATCCAAGCCCTAACTAAGAAATAAATCCGTCCGCAAAACCCGAAACAGCAATTTCAGCCTACAAAACCCTGTTGCATACGACCAGGCCCTGAACTCCATTTTGGGGTCCGATTACTTAAAAGATTAGGGCTTAGGGTCATAAGTTTGGGGTTCCTGAGATTGCCTATCATAAAACACTACAGCCTTTTTAAAGTGATGGAGACCCCTTTTAGCAAAAGCCCGGAGCTTGATGAATCCAACATGCTTGAAACTTGCCTGCCGTCAGACTCACCATCCTCCACGCCACGACCACAGGCGATGCTTGGGTGTCCCTGCACTCTGCTAAAGGGCTTAGGGTTTAGGGTTTANNTTTAGGGTTTAGGGCTTAAAGCCCCAAGCACCAGAACAAGCAACAACGACAAAAGCTTAAGCCACGAAGCCCCTGCACCTAAAAGGATCCTACCACCCTTACATAAGCAGAGTAGCTCTTGGCTGGACTTAGAGTACTATAACGTTACTAGAGTTCCCGTGCCTGTCGGGGTCAATTCTCCAGCAAGAACGCACTGGAAATACGTTGAAGTTGTTAGGCCTCATGTGTCTGGCCTGTATTGCCGCTAGAATGTACTCACCACGCGACCTTGTCCTGCTGAGCTTAGCGCTGGTTTTGGCAGACAGGCTCTCCAGTCTCGAGTCAATCTGTTTAGGGCTGGAGTGCAAGGCATGAATTCAGGTATGCTGGGTTCAAAAGACCGAGAGTGTAAGCGGTTTCGGGAGGAGGGTTCGAGAAAGTGAAGAGTGTACCGGTGTATCTATTTGAGTTTGGGTTTGTATACTTCGGACTTATGGGCCGTAGGGTGCCTGCTCATGGGTTGCATCTGTATTTCTATATCGCCAGGCGACCCCGGATCCATCGGTGAGGCCATGCAAGGGGGTGGGGGGGCTTTACGGTAGAGACCATGGGGTTAGAATAGGGCCGTGGGAGGTACGGTTCCCCTTGTCTCACTAGATGATACTCAACCTTGACCCGAAGTCTCCAAGACCCGAACCCCAAACCCGAAGCTCAAACCCTACTACCCTAAACCCTGAGGCCAAGGCCCAAGCCTAAATCCTACAGGCCCTGAAGCCAAAAGTCCCGAACTCCTAATTTGAAAGTTTCGACCCATACAAACCCCCTTAAAAAGAGCCTTACGAAAACAGCTCTCACAGAAATCGTATAAAGTACCCCTACGCCCACTCGCTTGGCGGGGTCCATTGGATTTTTTGGTGCAGGGATGAAGTTTGGGGGTGTTGGTTTTAGGCTAAAACTTATCGAGGATTTGCAGAGGGTTGAGTCGAGGCCCTGGACGCTGTTAGGCGAAGTTCTTGAGGAGTTCCAGGGATATGATTACTCACTACTCATCAAGCACCCCCCNNCCCCCCCCCCCCCCCCCCCGGGTAGCCCCTGTTGTAGCAAGTTTGTGGCAAGGTTCAATATTATCCTCTAGTTAGCGAACCTCCCTCCCTTGAAAAGGTGTAGAAACGGGATGCCAGCAGCAGCAACTTAGTGGAAGGGGCTTTAGCACCATGTTTACATGAGGATTATGGTTCTATGAGGCCTTGTGGCTTTCGATTTTCAACTTTCGGCTGCAGCTTTATCAGCCCTGCAGGTCTACAGGCTACGGTTTTGGAGCTGGTTAAAGGACCCCTGACGTACGGAAGCCTACACCCTAAAACAGAAAGCCCTGAAGAACAATTACGGGCGCAGACCTTCGGGCTTAGGGTTTGTAGTCCCGACAGGAGTCTTTACGGTTTCGGGTAGTTGGGGTTGTTCGACCCTGAACCCTTAAGGAACCCTTAGAAGAACCCCTAAAGGAACCCCAGACCCTGAACCCTGTAAACCCTTAATGGAGCCCTGAAAGGAGCATGTAAAAGAGCCCTAGATCTTCTGACTTCCCAGGCAGGAAAAGGAGCGCGGAGAGCTGCTCCTCAGAGTGCCTTGTGTTGCAAGCGCACTGCTTTCTTTGTATGAAGCTGGGATTTCAGGGTTTAGGAGTTCAGGGGTTCAGGGGTTTAGGGGTTAAGAGCCCTACATGGGCTAAGAAAACAGGGGTTTCGGCTTCTCTCTCCAAGCAGACAGATAGTCTTGGCGACACGGTAAGCCGACTGGCGCTCGCCCATGCTGCACCGCGACACGATATTACCAACGCGCTGCAAAGGCTCCGGCCTGTCATCACAACCGTTCTTCCGTTCTTGCTGACTGCCCATCGATCTCTCTGCCGAGCGACTCATGCAGGCAAGAACTTGTTCCATCGGTTTATGTTTCTTCCGAAATGATCTGTCCTTCGATGCATTAATCTTCGTATCAAACTACCAGATATATGTATGCACAAGATGCCAAATCCACATTGGTAGTCCTCTCATTTAGGTCCCGTTTAAAATGTCTCCACAATAGCACGGCACCCTGTTGCAAAGGATCCTAAAAAAGTGCCCTAATTTAGAGAATTACTTACATCGTACACCCTACACCCACTCGAGCCGCTATACGCATGTCTCACGGCCACGCCACTCCGAGGCTTTGCACGATTTCCACCGACGTCGGCGGAAACGCCAGAAGGAAAGAAGCGGCAAAACGGAGCCCCATGCCCTGACATAATGGGTCTAGAGTTCAGGCCGTGCAGGTTTAGTTTCGGGTTTTCGATTCGGAATTTCCCTCGCCAAGACTGTCGTAACTTGCTTTTGGCAGAGGCACCTGCATAAGATCGCGGCATAGCTAGACAATTTAGATATGTCTGTGCAGTTGCAGCAACAATGCCAACGAGTCATGTCTTGGAAACTCGTCGTCGCCGTCCCTGTCCTCCTCACTGGCCGTCCTCATGCTCGTCCTGCTCGTCGTAAGTCCTCTTCGACCGTCGTTCTCAGCGTCATCATCATCATCGTCGCCACCGCCATCCCATCATCATGTCCGTCAGCACCAGCGTTACCATCAAGTATCGCCGTCGTCATTAGCCACGGGCCATGTGCAAAAATCAGGATGTGAGCCGAATCGCAACTTGATCGGCAGGCCCCGAAACCAATCTTCTGCTTATGAAGATCAGCCCGAAATCCCAAAAGCCCTGCAGTGCACGGCTGAGGAATCTGTATTTCCGCAATGTTGCCTACTTCATCGATCTCATGGATGAGACGCCTTGGCACATCTGAATTTGTTCACAGGCTTTCCGCTTTGGCATTTACGGTGCCTCAACCATACTCGGATAGGTTCGTGCTAGGTAGTATTCGGGAGACCCCCTTAAATCGGACCCTTCTTAACCCAACTTCTGGCTTTCTTAATAGGGACCTTATTAAGAGGGCCTATATCCCCAAGGCTCGCCCCAATCCTCACTCCTAGTTCAGCTGCAGAAGGGCCGCGCCGACTTCCTTCAAGGTGCTAAACCCTAAACCCTAAACCCTAAACCCTAAACCGCTGCTAACCCAAAAAGGAGCAATTTTCCGGTTCAGGGCTTTAGGGGTTTTAGGCTTGGGGACTGACGGTTTTCGGGATTGGGGTTTAAGCATTGAAGGGTGTTGGGGGTTTAGGGTTTAGGGTTTAGGGTTTAGGGTTTAGGGTTTAGGGGGTTTAGGGTCCTGGGGCCCTATTATGTAGAGCCTGGGAGATCCCGGATCTAACGATCCGGGATGCATGTTCCAACTTTCCCGGCATCGCCGGAGGTGCTGCCGGGCCAAGGGCTGCAGCAGCCCGGCTGCCACCCTATTAGGGTTTAGGGTTTAGGGGGTTTAGGGTTTAGGGTTTAGGATGTAGGGCTTCAGGGTTTAGGGGTTTAGGGTTTGGGGTGTAGAAATGTGCTGGTGCTTCAAACAGAGTATTTTGAAGCCGGCATAGCCGCCGCAAACATCCTCCAGGCGAAACAAAAACAGCCTTAAACCAGAATTGAAAGCCTGCCCTCCATTCTACACCCTGCACCCCGAAACCTAAAATGCTTAGCCCTACCAAAGCCCAAGGAACGACACGGCCAGACGACACCGCGAGCGGAAGGAGTCGAAGAGACGACTGCGAAAGGAGGCTCGGGGAACGTACTCTTCTGGCTTCTTGTTTAGGGTTCACCTATAGTCTCCATTGTAGTTCCTTTTTTGGTTAAACCGGTTCTACATTACAAGCACCCGGTCTTAGTGTTCAGAGCTCGCGGATTGGAGGTCGAGGTTGAGGCCCAAACACGCCGCCCGAGATCCTGAACCGCTGGCTTTTCTGCTTTTACCGCCCCCCCCCCCCCCCCCCAAAGTACCCTAAACCCTAATCCTCAGCACTAAACCCCAAACCCCAAAACCCATACTTCAAACCCCCCATAACCTTGACTCCCAGCCATCCCAGACATAAGCCCCAAGTCGAAACACCCAGTCAGCCCTCAGAAGCCAAATCGGGAATCCCCTAAACACTTGGTCCCAGGACAGCTCTAGCCCCAAATTCCTGAATCCTAAACCATCAGCCCCTTGTTAATATTACAATCCCTAAGCCCCTAAACTCAAAAGCCCCATCTAGATCTTGAAACCTGCAAGACACCGGAGGGCCTGAAGCAGCAAGAGCGACTTCTCCAGCTCTCGCCTCACAGGGGGTTTGGGTTTGAAAGTTGAGGCCTTATCCGTCATGACCTTAAGCCCTGAACCCTACAAGCTGAAACCCCAAATCCGAGTCCTTAAACCCTATAGCAAACCCGAGGCCCCTACAACCTAAACCCTAAGTCCTAAACCCTACGCCCGAAACCCTGAACCGTGTTGTTTCGTGCTAGTGACCTTTGCGTTTCCAGAAGCTTCATTAGCGTTAAGAGTATGTACACCTGACTATGTGCTAAAGCCCTGGCGTGCTCGATTTCACAAGCATGCCCGTGAGACATACGTCAGTCACATCAGTGGTTCATCATCGCACATCAAAACGAATCAAAACCAGGCAATCCCTAAACCCTACACCCTAAGCCCTAAACCCTAACAGGTAGGCCTCTGCAGATCGAGCCCTGCGCGCTTTGGACTTCAAGGGCTTTCGGTTTAAAGTCGGGTTTGGTTAGGGTGGGTTTAGGTGTTTCGGTTGAAACTAGGGGGTGGGAAATGTTGGAATGACCGTTCCGTGGAGTCTTTGTGCACTGTAGGTCAGCATAGCTCAGACAAGAAAGGGAAAAAATAGCGACATCTTCATCATGGAGATCTGGTGATGACTAACTGGGCCAGCAGCGTTCTTTGCCGTCTCAGGGATCGTCGAAGAAGGTTCTGAATGGCGGTTGGCCCAGTGGCCCTTGCGATCCAAGCATGAACATGCGAATCTTAAGAGAAGCAACGGTTTAGGGTTTAGGGTTTAGGGTTTAGGGTTTAGGGCAGCAACAGGCTGTGCCAAGGTCCCTGTCTCTGTCCAACATCCTCGTTTATATGCCCTGCACACTCCCAGCACCGCGCTGCGAAATCATCCGTAGTTGACCTGGCATCCATGTTGCTGCAGCACCCAGAACGTGCACACGGCCCTTAACCTTGACATCAAAATGTTACCTGACAGTGTAGCACGAGAGTTCTCGTACAGGTGACACCAAATAATACTCATCGTAATAATCTGGAATCTGTGGCGAGCTCAGGGTGAATTCCAAACGAGGGGTACAGACACGCCTTGAGGGTTTTGGAGTGCGGCAAGTTAAGGGGAAATCCCACCCTAAACCTTAAGCCTTCAACCCGAACCGTAAACCCTCCCTAAAACTATAAACCCTGAATAAACCCTAATTATCCCCTATCTCTCAACCCTTATGAGAGTCATGTCCTGGATTGCACGAGGTGTGCTTACGCGGATTCGTGCTCTTAGCTCCCATCAGGTTTAGATCTTTCGCCCCTACCCTTAACCGTTGCCGTTCTCCTGCGAAAGCTCTGGCATAACTGCATGGCGAAGGAAGGAGAACGGGATCTTCTTTCACAGTTGCCTATTTCGGGCCCTCAACACACCGATCGGGATACGCCGCCGAGAGATTTCTATCTCCTGGCCTCCAAACCAGCCTCAGACTTCCTTGCGACCTTCTTTTGAAGAGGGTTTAGGGTTTAGGGGTTTGGGTTTAGGGTTAAGGGTTTAGGGGTTTAGGGTTTATAGGGTTTAGGGTCCAGATATGAACCTCCGCCACAGTGATCGTCTTCTCTCGTGGCGTGATGCTCGCGCCAACGCAGCTGCGGCCAGAGCAGAGAATGTTGGAGAGGAGGAGACCGAGTGTGCAGACAGCTCCTCCCCGTCAGGGGGCTGCCCTCATGAATTGTATAGCAACCTTGAAAAAGGCCACAATATAGGGGCCTAAATTAAAAATAATAGAATACCACAAAGCCCTATTCTGATTATTCAGGCCACTACATTATAGAACCCTGAAGCCCCTATTCAAGCCTTGAAACCCGCAACCTTTACACTCATCAAGTTTTTGCTTTATAGAGTGTCAGAACCATCGCCCCCGTGCGTAGCGATGCAAGGAACGTCTTTCGTGGCGATGTGCGCCGGCAGTCACAGATGAGGAACCTCGCCTAAACGAGGGATTGTGGGGTTCAGAGTTAGCTATCGAGGTTTAGAGCGTAGGAATTTCGGTATAATATGGCCTCTCCATAAACTTTGGACGATTCGTGCACACTTCCAACATGATCTGCCGTTAAACCCTAAATGCACATGGGTCAGGTGCAGGAACCTTAGTTTTTCAGTTCGGATAGAACCCGCACCCAGAGGTCGGTCGAAGCGAGGCACCTAAACTTGAACGAATCTCGCATGAATTGGAGGAACACCCAGTCTGAAATCCTAAAGCAACAGTATCACCAAGCAAGCCCAAAGCCCGAAACAACCCTAAACCTAGTTCACTAAACCCCAAGCCGAGTCTCCAATTAAGCCCTAAACCCGAAGCTTCAATTAAGCAATGACTAAGCCCTGAAGCTCTAAATCCTAAACCGAATCCGAATCCTGAACCGAATCCTTTGGCCCGCTTCATTTTTAAGCCACTGATGAGGCCCAGGCTCTCTTGGGGTTTGGGTTTTGGGTTCAGGGTTTAAGGTTTAAGGTTTAGGGTTTAGGGTTTAGGGTTAGGGGTTTGGGGTTTGGGGTTTGGGGTTTGCGGTTTGGGGTTTGGGGGGGTTCAGGGCATAGGGGTTTAGGGTTTAGGGCTTTAGGGCTTTGGGTTTGGGTTCAGGGTTTAAGGTTTAGGGTTTACGGTTTGGGTTTAAGGTCTAGGGTGCAGGGTCGTGGGAATCTGATTTCGGACTTTCGTCTCATGGTTGACAATGTTAGGAGCCTTTTGCGTTCGGGATTTGGGTCTAGTCTTGGGTCTAGGCCCGCGGTTTAGGGTTTAGGGTTTAGGGTTGGGTTTCGGGGATAGTACCTCTTGCTCTTTATCCGGAGTGCCAACAGTTTCAATCTCCACTCCTTGTAGTGTAAGTTAATTACAGTGTATAGGCTTATAGGCTTAGCCATAATTTACGATCCTAACGGGCCTGAATAAATTGATTACGGATCTTATTCCCTAGGGTTCCTTCGGATAGCCACATGTCAGTAATTTACCCTTGAAACCCTGTTCGAATCAGCATACGGCCCCCTGTAGCAGACATTAGCAGACGAGAGGACGTACATCTTGTAGTTTACACCGCTAAAGTTTTCATGTCCTAAATCGTTCAAAAGTATGAATGCCCATGCCCAGGGCAAGTCCCTGTCATTCGTTCCGAAGCCGCAAAAGTGACCAAAACACCCAAAAGCGTAAAACCCGACTACTTATAAAGCCTTTGCAAGAACCACGACACCGTAAACCCTAAATCCAAAAGGCTCTCAGCACTAAGCTCTAACCGTCTTGTGGGACTCTTACCCGAGAATAAAGCCTTGCATGGCACGCCAAGGATCCTCGTCGAGTCCCGCGCGGGGAAAGAGGAAGCGAGGCGTCTGCTTGTTGGGTCTGTGGGGTTGCGGTAGGGTTTAGGGTTTGGGGTGTGGCTAGGGGCTGGGGAAGCCGTCACGCCCTTAACCCCAACCCCTACCCTAAATGTATATAAAGTCTTAAGCGGGATGATACAGGGTATAGGATTCAAGTGTGGCTGCTGCTTGACAGCCTGGCCTAAACTGAAACCCTGTTTGCAGGCCCGCCCCTACTCTTACTCTGCAAACAGCGCTTGTCGACATTCATTGGCATCATCACCGTTAACGGTGCCTAACCCCCCAGGTACCTACTATATAGGGTACTGGAGCCCCTAGGGCCCTATATATTAG